ATGGTAACATTAAAGTGCTATTAATAAAAGCTCCCAGTTGATTGAAATGAAGAGGAGAAAAGCTGCCTCTGAGCATACTGGGTGTGCGCTGACTGCTTCTTTATTAACTGTGGTGACATGTGGAAGATGAAGATTAACAAGTAAAACAATATCGACTCCAATTCAGACTTCTGCAGATACTCATCAGGTGTTGATTCAAGAAACTATTTTCCTTTCAATATGCATTTCTTAATCTAAAAAGAAATTCTAGGCATGCAATGATAAAAAGAGATTCAAATAATTACTTAAATGTAATCAACGGTGCAATCGCTCTTAATAAAATAGCGATCTCTACAAAGATCCATTTGCAGTGCTGGCCAACAAACAGCGAGCTGACAATAAGCTCAGTGTAAGTTCCCCTTCTGCTGGTGTCCTAATGGCTATATTCAATTTAACATCTCTGGCTCTTAGTAAGAGATAAGATGTTGGTCAGAACCTCTGCCAGAAGGTTCATAGGAAATCAGAAGCCTTAGTCTGGGGGGTCTAAAGGAACTAAAATGCTGGAGACTGACAGCTCTCCTTAGAATAAAGCCACATGCAAGCATTAACATAAAGCACGATTCCCTGCCAACACTGATCACCAGAACTACCCCATCATTAAGTGCAGCAAGCCCCAGTCCTGCTCTGAGACAATGCAGAAATACCCTCCAGCAGCCACACATGCATTAAACAGCAACACACAGCAAAGCTGCACGGAAAGCTGTCAGCTTTCAGAACCCCAAAATGCAGACTTTCACGTTGCAGACTGCTCCAGTGCATGCACTCAAGAGCAAGCACAGACTGTGAATGCAGCCCTTCCTGTTAATGCTCCAGTACTTTATATTTCCAACTTCCTGTTACTATTTGTGCTTCCTAATTACAGTTTGTAGTGTGCTTGTGTGCAGGGAACTTCAGAGACCTCATAAACAGCAGCCTGTGCTCGCCTGATGAGAAACACCACTGCTCACAGGTAGCAGTGCAGCAGGCCAATAGGAAACCCCTGGTTTAGAAGCACTGACTCACTCTGTGCTTTCTACCACCAGCTCTGAAGTCTAACAATGCATTTACTCTCAGCTTTTTTTTTTTAAATCAACAGATAGACCCTATTCTTGTATAAGTCCATATCACTTTATTCATCTAAGGAAAAGCAGAGCAATGAGGGCAACGCTCAGACTCAACGCTTATTTCACAGTTTTGCTCGGTTAAGAAGCCCACAGGCTTCTAAAAACAATTTCCTAAGACTTAATCTCCTCACTGCATTGCAAACACCAACCAGCCCAGTCACATCAAAGCATCATTTAACAGCACACATCTTTTAGTACAAGTGCTAAGGGTCCTAGAAGAGCAAACCAGGTACAGAAAAGCGCTGACTGACAAAGTGCTCACCTCACACCTGGGTTTTGGTTTTATTTCCACAGGCAGCCAGTCTGCACAGCTGAGATCAGCCACGCTGTGCTGCCCTGATAGTGATAAAACACTGTCCACTGATAGGAAGATAAAGATTGCTCTCTGCTACTATAAATGCTTGGAGGTGTGTTTGCTGCTTCTGAATAGGAATTTAAATGTAAGATTTTGAGATAGGTAAGGTCGTGCTTGCAGGCTCTTCATCGGAATCAAATCCATCTGTGATCTTCTTGTTCTTATTTCTTCTTCACTCCGCATTTCTGCCACTGTTGTAATCTGAGTTCCCACTTAAGGCTGAGAACCACCAGGCAAGGCGCTACTCAAACAGGCAGACACAGGAACGCCTTGGATACAAAGTTAATTTGAGTTATAACATTCCATCAGCCTCATTTTCATCACCACTTAAAGCTCGAGTGCACTGCTTCTTTTGCCTCCGTGTGACTGGTAGAAAAAAGATTGCAAGATAAAGCCCTGGTGAGCGCAGCCCAGCAGCCTCAACCATCAGGACACAACCAACCGTGTGGATGCAGTCAGAGCACAAAGTACAGGGCATTAATCCTTCAGGAATCTCCCACAATTCCTTCCCCTCCTGAAGAAGTCAAGGTTTTGCCTGTTATGCTGCAAAGGCACAGCTCAGAGCTTATCTGCTGCTGCATGAGGAAGGATGGGATGCACTCTCAGGCCCAGACCTCGAGTGAAGGCACAGCCTGCAGGGATACAGGAGCTCCACGTTTGTTCACAGGACAGCAGCTCGTATTTAAAACCTGCACACTCCAAAGAATTATCATGAGTAGGGATGACTTGCCCAACGTGCCCAGGAGTTTATAATCTAACTCAGAATATTTTCAACGCTGCTTTGGAATGCATGCATTTTTAACAGACCAGAATGAATGCACTTCTGTTTGGCTTTGTTCTAACTGAACGGGTTAATTTGTCGTCACCTGAACATCTCCCTTCCTGCAGAGTTATTAAGCTGTCTGACTTTCAGGTGAATGCACAGCAAACAAAGCACTGTTCTGCTTGCACTTATCTAAATTCTGCGTGATCAATAAACAGCCGAGCAGCATCCAGCCTTTATAATTCACAATTAATGAGTTCGCTCTGACTGAAAACCAATGACAACGGTGACAGCCAAATGGACAGAGTGTGCCAAAACCAAGCGATACAGCAGCGCTCAGCACCTACAGCACTAAGTGACTGATTGTTTACTTTCAGTTTCTTTGAACTCAGCCTCTATTCACATTTGTAAATAACACATTAAAGACGGAGATGCACGCAGCAACAACCATGCCAGCCAGAGCTGAGAACAGCACCGAGTCAATAATCAGTTGAGGTTTGATGGAACATCCCCATAGCAAACCCACTTCCCAGGACACAAAACCTGCTAAGCTGCAAACTGCATCTCCCACAGACCAAAGCTACCTGAGCAACGAGCCACGCTCTGCACCCATGGCATCCACAGAGCTCATCCTGCTCCAGCAGCTGTGGGATCACAAGGAACAGCCCCACACAGGCCTGTGATCCAATAACCCGAGTGAGTGTAACAGCAGCTGCTGATTTGCTCACTTGAATTCCACAAACTGAATATCAGATCCTCAGGTGTGAAATACAACATTCATAATTCAATAGGGAAGCGTGGAACCAGGACGTCTCCAGGAGCATCCAGCTACACCCTGCAACAGCCACCAAGGACGTAATCAAAGGGGGTTTTAAGATTCCTCTTCTGCAAGCAAAGGGCACCAAAAGGAGTGGGATATCATCAGTAATTCTACTCTGTCCAGGTTTTATTTTGTTGCATGTCTAGAATAAGCAGAAAAGTTTCCAGACAAGATATAGAACTGCACTACAAACTACCTAAAAATCTCACACAAATATCAAAGAGTTTAGAAATTGACACTAATATAGAAATTGGAATCCTTCCTAATAAATACAACACAAACTTCCCAGAGATCCACGGTACCAGATTGCCTGTCCCCAGGGAACAGCAAAGCATGCAGATAATTAAGCTTCCTTGAGTTTACAACTCGTAACCTTCGTGTCACTTTATGGAAACAAACTACATTTAAAGAAGAAAAAAAAAAAAGGAGGAAGAAAATATTTACATTTTGACAACATACAACTTTTCCACATCAACGACCACCAAGTAAGTTCCCATATGTTATCAGGAGGAGTTTGCAGCACGATGTGACCTACTGTACAATTCCCAAAGCACGGCTCACTCTGCAGCCCCAAACCCATCTCTCACGTACGGTTACAGCGTTCCTCCAACTGTTTTCACTGCATTATTTTTAGCATCCATCCGCAAATAAGTGCTTTTCCCCTCCGGAAATTAAGCTAATTACACCATCACCTTTGTTCCACAGCGCTCTGTTTTCCTCCTCTGTCCTTTTCAGCTGCTTGGTCCCAAATCTTCCTCCTTTTCCTATTTCCTAAATTTCTACCACTCTTTCTTTCTTGATCTTTGACATCCTTTCTTCCACGGCCATGCTTAGCCACACTGCCATCTCCATTTCCCTCTACCTGACAGCCCCACAGCCTCTCCACCTCATTTTTGTGTCACCTGGGTAATGTGTCACATCTCACCTGGGCTTTCCTTTTTACTTTGACCACCGCTTCCCTGCCCAGGAACCCAATGCATGCAATCCAAGCACTTCTGCCTCCTTCACTCCTATAGGGCCATCAAACTTTAACCACCAGAAATAAAGCCACCTGTGGGCCCGTGCTTTGCAGCTTCGTAAGGATCACCACAGGGTTTCCACCCTCAGTCTACGGCAGACCTGTGCACAGCCCAGGTTGAGCGGGCAGCTGACAGCCCTGCAGGAAGCACACGGATCTGTGCTGACAGAGTTTGAATTCAGTTTTGCACCGGGGCACCAACACCTGCAAGAAGCAGGGGAGATCCGTGCTGTTTTGCCCTACAGGTGGGCAGCACAAGGAGGAAAGTTGCTTTACAAACACTCTCTAACTTTATTCTTCCAATAGGACAACATCTGAGCTCCCTCCAGCCTTCCTGCCCTCCTCAGTCACCTCTCCCCATAAGTGGGGACCCACAGAGGGGTCAGCAGAGCCCTCAGCCCCGCAGCATCCCCTGGGAGAGCACTCAGTGCCCACACAACACCCCGTGCTCACCTCACACACCCCCGACCTGCCTCCCAGAGCCGACTTTTCCCCCAAAAACACGCATCACGGGGCCGAGCCCCTCGCTGACAGCCCCCACACGGTGACAGCCCGCGCCCCACGCCGTCAGCTGGGCCGCATCCCACCGAGGCCCGCCGCAACCCGATGGAACGCGGCCCCCCCTCCCCGCCACCGCCCCCCCCTCCGCCCCTCCGGGCCCCGGTGCATGCCGGGCGTGGCGGCGGCGGGCGGGAGAAAAGGGGGATCCGCTCCCCCCGCCCCTCGCTCCCCGCCCGGCCCCCCTTTCTCCCTCCACCCCCCCCTTTTCCTCCCCCCCGCCCGGGGCCGGTCGCAGCCGGTGCGGCGCGAGGCGGTGCGCGGGGCTCGGCGCGTGCCGCACGCTGACGTCAGGCGCGTGTTGGCGCGCGGGCGGCGGCGGCGGGGGAGCTCTCGTTACGTACGTGTAGTGCTGCGGCTTCTCGGGCTGCGCTTGCAGCGCGCTGGCGGCGTTCGCCGGCCCGGTCGCGGCAGGGCCGCTCGCCACCGGGCCCTTGGACATGCCTCCTGCCCGCCGCCGCCGCTCCCGCCGAGGAGACCTTTATTATTCACTCTGCGCGGTCCGCACGGAGGGCGCCGCGCGCAGGCGCCGCCGCCGCCATTGCCGCCCCGGTGCGCGGGGTGGGGTGGGACTTGTAGTCCGGCCGCGCGCGCGCTCTCCGCCAACCCGGGACGCGGCCTGCGGCGACTTCCGGGAAGTCGGGACTACAACTCCCAGCGGCGCCCCGCGGCGGTAGGGGAAGCTGCTTCCGGTCGCGAGGGGGACGACGGGAATTGCAGTTCGGGGCAGAGCGCGACGGCGCCCCCATGCGGTGGGGGCCGGTGGCTGCGGCCTACCCCATGGCCCGGGCCTGTGACGGGGCCTGGGCTGAGGAGGAGGAAAATGAGGAGAAAGAGAAAACGGAGGAAGATGAAGAAGAGGAAGGTGAGGAGGAGGAAGGTGAGGAGGAGGATCCGGGGAGCAGCTGGCGGCCTACCTCAGGGCAGGTGACACAAAACCCTCAGGGACTCCAGGTCAGCTCAGGCCTACGTGCCTCAGCCCGGCCGTGCTCGACATGGAGCCTCCTGGACAACGGCACCCCACCCCACAGGAAGCACCGAGCTGCTCCGCTGGGACTTTGATCCCTTGCACCACATGGGACAGCTTCACTCACCGTTGCTCTGGTTGCACGGTAAAGGGCACCAAGCGTTTCAATGGCAAGCACCTTTATTTGTTTATTAAACCTTTGGCAAGGGTTGAATGGTGTTAATTATAAACTCTCGGGGCTGGTCTGTGCCATCGAGGCGAACTGCTCTTTGAATTGCTGCTCACAGTGGTGCAGCACTGACTGTGAGATGTTGGCAGCTCTTTCCTTGCGTCTGCAGGACTCAACCATGTGCCACCAACAGCACATTCGTGTACCACCCCTCCCCAGGAGGCTGGAGCACTGTAATTATACAGCTTCTGATCAAGTTGGGCAACTTTTCAAGAAGAGTATACGTGGAAGTCCTTCACTTAATACCTATGTGTATATGCATCTTTGTGTCCAATGCACAAACACCACCAGCGATGAAGCTGCAGGAAAAAGACCTTTGACAAACAGCTGCTAATGCTGAAGCACAGGGATTCGGAAAGCACTGACTCCAGGCATTGTGTGCTGCTGTTTACTTGACAAGCCAGTGCAGACACTGCTTCCTCTTCAGCTGTCTTCTGTTTTGCTGTCGGGAACACGCAGCACTCTGCCAGGTGACAGTGCTCAGAGTATGCAGCTATGTGTGCCCTGGGTGCACTTACCTCTGTGAGCACACATCTTTGCTAACACATAGTATTCATTTTCTCTCCTCAGCTTTGCTGCATACGCCTTTTCCTCATCCTCTGTTTAACCTACTGGGATGTACAGCTTTTCTCCAGTCTTAATTCCAAGAGAACAAAGCTCAAAAGTGTCTAAAATTAGAAGTGTAAGCAATCGTTGCTACAGAAATAGGAGAGGAAATATCAGAGGAGCAATGCCTCTGAACTCCTGATAACGAACACCATGCTCTGGTCCCCTCACGTCAGCAATAGTATGGTATGCTTCTAAAAACATCAAATTTAAAATATATGAAGCTATCAGAACAGATTTCTAGATTTCTTTTTTCCAAGCATGAACAACTCAGACTAAAAGGCAGCTCTTTATTTCAGATCTCAATTTTCCAAGCCACGTCAAATGCAAATGACTGTTTACGCACCTCCTGGGCCATCTATTGCTGTGCTGCTTTTTGTCTCTGAGAAGTAATTCATGCTTTTCTTCACCAGGACCAAAAGAAAATTAACCTGCAAAGGCAGTTGGGGGCCAAAGAGATGCACGTGAGGCAGCGTCCCCCCAGCAGCTGCACATGACAATCCTGTCACACCACGTTGGAGCACACTGCTCGACTCGCAAGGAAAGAGAGAAGCAAAGAACACTCAGCACTACGTGCAGAGCCGCCACAGGTCTGCTCTACCTCTTGCACCAGGCATTGGCCTGAGGGATGCAGGCATTTGGGCAGGATGCAAAACCTCATGCAAAGTCTGCCTGATTGCATCTGCGCACTGAGTGCAGATACCTTCGGGAGTGGCTGTTTGTGTTCACTCCATGTTCTGTGTGCTACAACTGCGGGGCATTTGGGACCTGTTCTTCCTGACCATGGGGGCAGGACCTGCCTCCACCCCCAACAGCTGCTGTGAATGTAATAACGTAACAACACACAGCAAGGTACAACTCCAGGGAGCAACCTCCCCCAAAATACAACAACTTTTCACTTAATTGCTATTATCTTCCTAGATGCAACCAACAGGCATTAAGGATTCTGGTTTCCTACTTCCCAAAACTTTGTAATTAGCTTTGGAGTTGGAAGACAACCCACAAAGTGAGTGGGAATGTCATTTTATGGAGGTGGAGAACAGCAGTGCAGTGGGGCCCAGCTGCAGCATCTGCACGCTCCCAGGCTTTCCCCCAGGACACGCACGTCCCAGGGTGACGTTCCCGATGGCCGGGAGCAGCGGTGCCTTTTGGAGGGCAACACATCGGTAGGACAGCCCCGGTTCAAAAGCAAATCCTGTGGCAAGCGTTCCTATCCCACAACACAGCTGCTCCCATTCATAAAGCCAGAGGACGGATGCTACAAGAGCCGCGATGGGGCTGGGGCTGCACGGTGCCGAACCGGGCAGTCCCCTAGTGAGCCCACACAACAAGCTCCTCCACCTCTTTCCTAGGAAACCGGCCGAGCCAGCTCATAGCGTGTGCCCAGCGCCTGCGTGTCCCCGCTGTCCCCGCGCCCGGGGGGGTCCCGGCCATTCCCCACGGCGCGGCCCGGCCCCGCCGCTCGCAGTCTCCGCACCGCACGCCGCGAAAGGCATTTTGTGGCGGGGCCGGGGGGCGGGCCGGCAGGCGGCGAGGCCGAGCAGCCCTTGCACCGGGACCGCCCGCTGAGGCCCGGGGAGCCAGGAATCCACCGCCCGCCGCCCCGCCGCGCCCCGCCGCCGCTCGCCCCGCTCCTATTGACTTCCCATTGTGGAGCTTTGCAACAAAGGGTAGGATCCAAACCGTGCCCCGTTTCGTCCAATCAGCGCGCAGAGCGCCCGCCCGACGTCTATTGGCCCCTTCTCGTCTCACAATATCCAATCAGCCGCCGACTTTAACAACCAATCAGCGGCCGGGCAGGCACCCAATCAGCGCCAAGGAACAGGAGCACGGCCTTTGTGTCTTATTACGTCACGGCGCCGGCGGAGGTCCCGGCCAATCGAGCGGCGCGCTGCTTCCAGGCATTGTGAGGTCACCGCGCCGTGTGCCGCCCCCTCTATAAAAACTGCGTCCCCGCGGCGGGGAGGGCGCAGTGTGGGGGTAGTTGCTGTCGGAGTCGGTTGTTGTCGGAGCAGCGCAGGCTTCGGTGCGCAGCGATATCGGCGCCGGTGCGTCCTTTTTCTCTAGGAGGTAAGTGACTCGCGCCGGGCGCGTTCTGCGGTGCTGCGCGGCCTTCGGAAGCTTCGGTTGTGTTTTTTTTTGTTTTTTTTTCTCGAGCTTGGCGGACAGTTCAGGCCTTGTCTACGTGCCTTGAGTCACGGCCGGTTCCCATCCCCCCGCTCCTCCGGGGTGGCCCGGGAGGAAGGAGGAGGTGGCGTGACTCAGTCCGCTTCCCCCGGGGAGGGGAGCGGTCGGGCCACAACGCGGAGCGGGGGCGGAGGAGGAACCGTGACTCCTCCTCCTCCTCCCGGGGGAGGCCGCTGGCCGCATGCCCGCCTCGACGGCGGGGGAGGGGGGGCGGCCCGCCGGCATCTGCCGCTTCTGGGGCTTGAGGGGATCGGAGGCGGGGGGAGCGCCGCATCGCGGGGCCCGGCAGGTTGCCGCCGCGGGGTGAAGCGGGCCCTGCCTGACGGGTGCGTGTCCTCGTAGGTAAGTGAGGAAAAAATGGCCCGTACAAAGCAGACCGCCCGCAAGTCCACCGGGGGGAAGGCTCCGCGCAAGCAGCTGGCCACCAAGGCGGCCCGGAAAAGCGCTCCCTCTACTGGCGGCGTCAAGAAGCCTCACCGCTACAGGTAAGGCTGCCGGCACGCTGTGCTGCGGCCCGGCTGCCGCTGTCGTGTCCCGCCTCACCGATTCCTCCTATTCCACCCAGGCCGGGCACCGTCGCGCTCCGTGAGATCCGTCGCTACCAGAAATCCACGGAGCTGCTGATCCGCAAGCTGCCCTTCCAGCGGCTGGTCAGGGAAATCGCCCAGGATTTCAAAACGGACTTGAGGTTCCAGAGTGCGGCCATCGGTGCACTGCAGGTAGTGCTGGTGGCCTGCTGAGGGCTTAGGTGAAAGGTTCTAACGTCGGTTCTAACGTTTCTTCTTGTCCTCTTGGAACAGGAGGCGAGCGAAGCGTATCTGGTGGGTCTGTTTGAAGACACAAACCTGTGCGCCATCCACGCCAAGAGAGTCACCATCATGCCCAAAGATATCCAGTTGGCTCGCAGGATACGGGGAGAGAGAGCTTAAGTGAAGGCTGTTTTTATGGTGTTTTGTAGTAAATTCTGTAAAATACTTTGGTTTTAATTTGTGACTTTTTTTGTAAGAAATTGTTTATAATATGTTGCATTTGTACTTAAGTCATTCCATCTTTCACTCAGGATGAATGCTAAAAGTGACTGTTCACATAAACCTCAGTGATGTGAGCCTTGTTGCTCAGGAGTGACAAGTTGCTAATATGCAGAAGGGATGGGTGATCTTTCTTGCTTCTCATGCATGTTTCTGTATGTTAATGACTTGTTGGGTAGCTAAACTTGTAAGGTACTAGAATTGATATAAATGTGTACAGGGTCCTTTTGCAATAAAACTGGTTATGACTTGATCCAAGTGTTTAACAATTGGGGCTGTTAGTCTGACCATACATCACTGTGATCAAATGTGGACTTTTTCAGAGGGTGAAACTACAACTCTTAACCACAGTGTAACTTACAGTTTCCTAAAAACGTAAACCTGGCAGCTATAGAATACACTATGTGCATTTATAATAGCTATTTTATATATTGTAGTGTCAACATTTTTAAATTAAATGTTTTACATTCACATGCGAGGAGTCTTTGTCATTTGGTTTGTATGGGCTTGGAGAAGCTTATTCCTGGCTCCAGTATGTTAGCTGTAGATGCTTGTAATATGGGACTGCTGCTGTGGCAGCTTAGCTTTCTGCCAATGAAGCAGTGCCTCACCCTGGCTCCCCTTGATGTTTTTAGGAGGCCTGAGTCATCTCCTGCTCAGCCAGGAGGAGCAGTCTGACAGGCTAGGAAGCAACTTACTTCCCTCCTTAGGGGGCTCTCTTGTTTAAAGCTTAGCTGCTTATCAGTGGCAGCAGTCTGGGCCCAGCTTCAGAACTAACTTCTGCTTTTTTTCCCCCTTCCCTCTTCCTTCCACATTTAAGGGAAGCTTTATTTTTTTTGCAGTGGTGGGACTGGCTTGTTTAAAGTGAATCCAGCAGCATCTGCCCAGGTCAGGCTGGGAGTGGATGCAGGCTGTGGGAGCGCAGCCCTCTGCCTCTCCCAGCTTCCTGTGGGATCTCACCCTGTGACTAAGGGCAAGACAACAACCATGCCAGAGCAAGCAGAAACACTCATTATATAACCAGAGAGCATACAGGCTGCTAAGCAAATTGCTAGATTCTCATTTCCCCCATCTAAGCTTTTTTGATGAAACAGGATTAGACGTAAACCTGCACTTGAGGATAACCCTGCAGGCTATCTGCTGACAGTTCTGGTTTTCTCAGTAGTCTCTGGGAACAGCCGTAGTTGTGGCACAGTAAAGCTGCTCAAACTACATCTGGAACAGGTAATTAACATGCAAATTACAGTGTTAGGCCAGTTCTTAAGAACAGGCTGTGCTAGTAGGGCTGAAGTTGAGACAGAAGTTGCACAGGCAGTAATATAAGCTAGTCCAGTTTGATTTATTTCACTGAAAAATCCAGACAAGGGGGCCATTTTAGGAAGAAGAAAAGCAGTAGTTCATATATGAAGGCACACAGTAAGCCAGCTCTGGCCTATCCCTGCAATTTTTTTTTTTTTTTTTTAAAGACCAGATGCTTTTGCTGCACTTCCTTTCACAGAACGTCCTGCAAATACAAGAATACCTTTCTAGCTCCAGTTTGAGGAGCCAGAGCTTGCATCTTGCACAGCTGGGTCACCAGAGCCTGAGGAGAGCTGAGCCACAGCCATCCCTTATCAGACAAACCACTCGGTGTGTTTAAATCCTGCAGCTGGAGAAACAAATGCTCATTACCACGGGCTCTTACACAACATCCTCAGCACCCCTTCCTTCTCTGCTCCAAGCACAGGCACTGCTCAACACGTTTATCACCTGCTAAAAATGTTTTCAAATGACTTGAGGTTTTAAACAGCTATTTTCCTCACTGCCAAGCTTCACTGCATCTAAAAGGCGATGTTAATTGTTTCACAGCACTGAGCAGGGCTGGGCTGTGGCCATCAGCACCTCAAGCTGGCTGCCTGAAATCCACGAGCGCTGCTCAGCCACCTGAAAGGCAGGGATGGACGGTGAAGCTGCATGTCCTGACAGCACAGCCTGCTGGGGGGACACGTGGCAAGGACATCCCACAAGAGCCCTGAGGGGCACCCAAACCAAGGAGCAGCATAGCTTGCATTTAGGCAAGACAAAAATAGAAACTGTAAGTGGTAAGATTTACTGATGCTTGGGCTGGTGTTGGATTGCAGCAGTGGGCTGAGCTCCTGGAGGAGAACATCCCTTGAAAACAAAAGTTTTCTCCAAGTGGAAAACAATGAAATGTCTGGGAATGCTTAGAAGCTGTCTCTGAAAATAATGGTCTAGCTGCATTAAAGAAAAAAAAGAGAGAAAACCAACCCCAAACTATCACAGCATCTACTCATCTTAGTGATCTCAACAAAAATTAAGTTAGCTCTTGCATGTGGCGGAATGGAATGGCAATTCTTGGTACTCCACATTTTACTGTAATTATATCTGAAGAAATAAAACGTTCCCTCACCAATTCTCTGGATGATTTCCTGGCATTCTTCCTCAGAACTCGATGCGAACGCCAGGCAGTCAAACATGCTCCCTTTGGGGCTCCCTGGGGAAGCACTAAATATGGAAACAAATGCATCAGCCTGCAATGGGAGCATGTCAGAGCAATCCCACGAGCAGCCACGCTGCCTCAGCCCTCTGCTCCCAACACCTGCATCCCCACATTGGGTGGGATGCCCAATCTCAGCCCTGCGTTGGCTCAGGGCTCCCTGCTGAGCCGTGGGGAGGGGATCCATGCACAAGGATGCTCACAGGACACAGAATGCAAAGACATTGCTGGTCTTAAGGCAGCGTCCCACGCAGGAGACTGCAGGATAGGGGTGGCGGAACAGGACCTGCATTGGGGACAATTGGGGACAAGGGGCTTTGCAACTCAGTGCATGAGCCAGAAATAGAGCATTGGGTGTTCCATGCTCACCTTGGGAGATGCCTTCTCTCGTACAATGATTTCTGTTTCCTTCACGTCAAATAAAACCTCCTGGAGAGAAGAAAGGGGAAAATAAAGCCCCAGTGATCACAGCAACTGAGCTCTATTTTTAATAAGATCGCTTGCGAGGCAGATTATTCAAGAGCAGAGGGATGAAGTGCAGCTTTTCACACAGAGCTGCCTGTTGCTGGTGTTCCACTGATGGAAAGGGGAGATTGACTGCAAATTAAGAGAGTAACTTCATTGTGCTTCAGATGCGGGGTTAAAAGAAAAGAAAACAAGCAAAGAGGAAAAGCAGGATGAAAAAAATAATAATAAAAAAAAAAATGCATGGACCACCAGTCCTCCAAGGATCTTCCAGCACTGTGGATCCATGAAACAGCAGCATTGTGGCTGTGTTCCTGCTCTCAGGACACTAGCTTGGGCTTAGCAGATGATCACCCATGGGCTGGCTCCATGCTCTGCCCACGTGCACCCAGGCCCCAGCCCAGGGCTGTGCTCTGCCTCCAATTTCATGAGAACCCCCTGGAGGCTCTAGCAGCAGCCACCCGAGCCCCAAAACACCCCCAGCACCGGGTTCAGCCTCCCCACGGTTCTCCAGTTGGACACACGCTGCTGCCCATCGCTCACCCGTGGTGCTGAGCCGTTCTCCAGCACAGCAGGAATGGCTTTCTGCAGCACCTCTTTGCCTCCAAACTGGAACAGCAGGAAGGAACAACACACAAGCATGGAAGAATGAGCTCAGAAGAAGAAAACAACCCAGCTCTGCCCATCTCCTCACCATCCCAACACCGATCCGGCCCAGGTACTGCAGGTTGTAGAGCAGCCTGGGGAAAAAAAAAAAGACCCATACATCCTCCTGCTGCTTGTTGCTGGGGGGAGATGGTCAGAGACCCCTCACCTCCTGGTGCCAACCCTACCTGTCCCCCTGCACCCTCCACTTCTGTCCCTTGTCACAGCGCCTGGGGCCACACTGGAGCTGGAAACGGGGCTCCTTCTCCTTCACAGCCTCCAGGTAGGGCAGCAAGGGCTCATAGACCTCACCATCGTGCCCCTGCCACCGCAGCACACGGAGGCTCAGTGGTTGTCCCTTCAGCTTCTGCAGCATCGCCCCAGCCTGGAGAAGAGGGTGGGAGAAGAATGCAGGGGGAGGCACGAAGGGAGGATGGTGGGGAGGATGAAGTCGTGTCACCCACCTGCCCGCTGTAGGCGTTCCTCAGGGAGCATCCATTGATCTCATCTAGGACGTCCCCAGCCAGCACCACCTCATCCACCTCTGCCTGGCTCCCAGGAAGCACCTCAGTGACAATGACACGGCCGTCCACGTACCTGGGGGATGCATCCAAGCTGCAGCTCAGCCCTAGAGACCACCCCCCCCCCCCCCCCCCCCCCCCCCAGCCCTTCTGTGCCATCAGCAGCATTTTGTCCATACACAGAGGGACAACCACCCCATGGGTGGGGAACCAACGGAGGAGAAAAAACACCCGAGACATCCATAGCCTCAGCTCTGGGGGTGTTCATCTCCTCATCTCCCCCTTTTTGGGACCATCCAGGTCTCCACATCCTGATGGCTCCTACCTCACCACCATCCCCAGCGCTCGGCATGGGACCGTCTCATACATGACGCACACCTGGAAGAGAGCAGCTGTGACAGCAGCCATAGAAAAGCCACAGGACCCAGTGTGACCAGGGTGGGGCAACACAGGGACTCCTCCCTGGGGGTCACTTCTGGCACAGAAACCAAACCAGGCCTTCAGGAGATGCTGTGTCAGGCACTGGGGAGCAGGAGGACCATCAGTGGCCTCCTGTTCCCATCCCATCCTTAATTGTTGAGCCCAGATTTAGAGATACGGATCCCAACAGATATGACCTAAAGCTCACAGTGAGCCTTATAAAGGAGTTTCCAGCCACCTTCCCTCATCTCATGCAAATAAGCCCCATAAATGAGTTCTGAGCCCCCTCCCTCACCACGCACAGCCGCTGCCCCAGGCTGCTCACAGCAGCTCCTGCTGTCACATCGCATTACTCAGAGCCCCAAAACGCAGCCGGTTCAGCTGGGAGCACTCGTGTCCATTGAGGCATGAACACTGTCAGGCAGCAGCTCTGCCTCCTGACCACAGTCCCAGCATTGGGCTACTCCTCAGGGTTTATTTTGGGGTTAAAAAGGCGGCAGAGGGATGCTCTTCATTTTTCTGGAAGCCATCAAGGCATCCCTGCTGCTCACAGCCTCGGAACGCGCAAATATTTCATTGAGCAAACACAAGAGCAAGATCAACTGACCCAGGCATTGCGTGTCATCCCAGAAAAATGATGATTTTTTGGCAAGGAAGCGGGGAAGGCAGCAAGGGAAAGCTGCATTTATGTCAGTGCTGCTTGGCTCGGTCCTACACACCCAGGGCAATGCTGGATCGGCGCCTGGTGACAGTGCAGGCACCCAGCAAGCTCCAACCCCAGCATGGAGGCAGCTCCACATGCATCCCTCCAACTGCAGATGGCTGAAGCCGTGCTGCCATCCCTGCAACCCCAACCATTCCTTGTTTTCCCCATCTGACATCCCAGCAAGGGCCGGAGCAGGCGGCAGCAGGGAGTGCTTACCGGCAGCAGCCAGCTCTCATCCAAGAAGCTGCAGTTCTGTGAACAAAGCAGTGCGGTGCTGTTGGTGCCGGTGAGGAGGGGGCTGTGCCCCCCACCCCGCCATTCATTCCTGCACCTGCAGGTCCAGGGAGAAATCCACCTCTGTCAGCACAAGCACCAGGGAGAGGAACGGCTCTGCAGGGGGAGAAGGGACAGAGGCAGCATTACTGCTGGGTCCCAGTGGCTGTGGTCTCTCAGGGATACAGCCAAGGCCCACATGGAGCCAATCTGCAGCATCACTAATGATGCTGTAGGGAGCAATCCCCCAAATTCACCCCAGCAGCACCCAGAGCCAGCCCTCGGCAACCTCCTGAGGAGCTGTACCAGCACTTAGGGAGGCTGTTAATTCATCAAAGCCAAGAGTAAAGGCTGTCACCCTGGTCTCCTAAGGAGAGCAGGGACCACACAGTCTGGGCACCCCTCAGAGCATCCTTGGTATAAGAATTAACATAGAAAACACTTGCAAAGCATCTTACCCCGCAGCTCTTCATTACCCAGGATGGAGCCTGACGAGTCATAGAACTGAAACACAGCACAAGACTCCATGAAACCACCTTAGAGCCACCAGGAACCCAGCAGCCCCCACGTCTCACCTCCAGGAGCTGCGGGCTCTGCACCAGCTGCTGCATGGCCACTGCCAGCACTTTGCACTGCAGGGCTGAGCGCAGGAAGCAGCGGCCACGGCCCTGTGCTGTCAGTGCCTTTGTGCAGGTGGAGGCTCTATGGAGGCTGCTGGAGAGAGGGCTCGGTCTGCTTGGGGAGAGGGGAGGTGATGGGGTTAACATAGGGAGCAGAATGCATGGTCTTGGGCATGTGGCTTGCTTGGGGAGAGGGGAATGGTTTGGGGGTTAACACATGGGGGAGCTTTTGGGCACTTTGGGGTTTAACACATGGAGGAATCACAGAACGGCTTGAGTTGGAAGAGACCTCAAGGATCATGAATCTCCAACCCCTCCCACTGCAGGCAGGGCCACCAACCTTCACATTTCATACCAGACCAGGCTGCCCAGGGCCCCATCCAACCTGGCCTCAAACACCTCCAAGGATGGGGCATCCACAACTTCCCTGGGCAGCTGTTCCAGCACCTCACCACTCTCATAGGAAAGAACTTCCCCCTGACATCCAACCAAAAGGGGGAACGTCCAGTCTTTGGGATTCAGTCTGGGGAGAAGGGAAGGGTTTAACCCACGTGGAAACCTTTGGGATTTGGTCTCCTTGGAGAGAACGGACGGGTTTGGGGGTTAACAGATGGAGGAACATCCAGAGTGGTTAGGATTTGGGGAGATGGGAAGGGCTTGGGGTTTAACTCATGGGACAGTGCTATGGGTTTTGGGATTCAGCCTGCTTACAGAGAGGGGAAGCAGCTTAGGGCTTACCCCTGGGGCAGCCTTCAGGCTCTGTGGGGTTTAACACACAGACAAACATCCTCCCCTCAGCCGGGGTGCCCCCCCCATGCTCCCCCCCCCCCATCCCCACTCACCTCCTGCCCTCCCCGAGGGAAAGCAGCTCCAGGCACTGCCAGTAATCCCTTCTCCTGAAGCCCCACAGCGGCTCTGCAGTACAAAACCAAAGCAAGGGGCCTCGACCACACACAACCCCCCTTCCATCCCCCCATGGCCCCCTGTGCCACTCACGTCGCAGCCCCTTCCTCAAGGCTCCCTCCAGCAGCGCGCAGGCGGCCGCCAGGTGCGGGGAAGCATCGGTGCACGGAGTGCCGCCCTCCCGCAACCGCAGCACCGCACCTATGGGGGGATTGGGGAAGAGCTGCACCCATAGGAGCCGCGCTGGGACCTCCGAGCAGAGGGAAACCCGCTGGAAAATCAGGGGAACTTCCTCCCAGCCAGGCACGGCGCGATGCAAACAGCGAGTCAGGCTGTGTGGGGTCCCTAATGGAGAGACCTTAATGGGGGGACCCCGTGCTATAGGGCACCCCCAGCCCCACGCTCACCTTTAAGGGCGCTCAGCAGCGGTTCCCTGGCGGCCATTGACCCGGGGCAGCACAGCCGGGAGGCACCGCCCGGCCCGGGGGGGGGCACACCCAGCTCAGGTGTGCGGCTCAGTGCGTGGATATGCGCGTGTGACACGTCGGCATAGATCTCTAGGTACGTAGGAAAAACGTTGATGTAAGTGTGTATCTGTCTCTGTATTATCGCATTCTTTATTACTATGTATATATTTGTATATAGGTAGAGGTGTAATCATACGTGTATATAGATACGTATCTCCGTACAGAGAGATATATAACAATCGATAATAATATGATAATGAAGTAAAAATAAAGCACAGATGGGTATGGATATGACGTGGATGTGGCTATAAACAGACAGAACGCTTCTATAGGGGCGCCCGTCTCGCACAGGGACTCGCGTTCTGCCGCCCCTCAGATCCGCGGGTTCGAATCCCGCCGCCGCCGCCGGGTCCGATCGGGGCCGGGAGCGGGGCGGAGCGGGCGGCTGTCCCCGCCCGGCGGGGAGGAGCGGAGCGGCGATGGCGGCGGTGGCGGAACCGGGTCCGTGCTCGCTGCTGGCGGCCGCCCGCGAGGCGTACGAGGCGGCCTTCGGTGGGGCGGCGGCCGTGGCTGCGTGGGCTCCCGGGAGGGTGAACCTCATCGGCGAGCACACCGACTACAACGGCGGCTTCGTGCTGCCCATGGTAAGGGAGGGCCGTGCCCCGCATCAGCCCCCCGCCGCCACCTGGACGGTGTCCAGCGGGCTGCGACCGTCTGTCCCTTGGGGGACACCGCTGGGGACGTGGCCGTGTGCCCGGCGCTGAGCACGTGTGCCCCCCGCAGGCCCTGCAGCTGGGCACGGTGCTGCTGGGTTCCCCCACGCAGGACGGGACCATCTCCATCCTCACCACCGCGCCGGGGGCGGACGAGCCCCATAGGGTGCAGTTCCCGGCTCCTACCCAAAGCCGCCCCCTGAGCCCGGGGCGACCGCACTGGGCCAACTACGTCAAAGGTGTGATCCAGCACTACCGGGGTAAGGTCAGAGCCTCTCGTGTAGGGTCACACTCGTAGCATGGGACTTCAAGTGGGCTGCAGGCTGGTGCACGCCAAAAGTCCCTTTGGAGCATCACGGAGCACTGGTGCTGTCCCTCAGCTGTTGTTGGGACCAGGCTTTGGAGGAGCTGTGTGACCGCAGTGCTGTGGGTCACCGTGCATTTAAAATGGGATGTAGAAGGGGCTCTTCCCTCTGCCGGGATCCCCGTGGGGCAGGGTGGCCCCAAAGCCTTTGGGAACTCACAGCCTCTCTCTTCCCTTCTATTCCCACAGGCGGTCCTGTGCCGGGTTTCAATGCTGTGATCTCCAGTGACGTCCCCCTGGGCGGTGGCCTTTCAAGCTCTGCCTCTCTGGAAGTGGCCACATACACCTTCCTGCAGCAGCTCTGCCCCGGTGCGGCCCCCATTTCTTTGTAGGATGGGGTTGTCCTTGGGGAGGTCCTGGGGAGACGCTGCTGTGGGATGGGGCACAGCTCCCACTCGAGCTGCCCATGTCCCTAAAGCCCATGGGTGGAGCGTTCCGTTTGGAGCATCTTCTCCCCACCCTCATGTCCCCAGAAATGCAAACCCTATCCCGCAAGGCTTTTCCCACATCCCATGAACTGAAAATCCTCCCAGGGGAGGAACAAAGGCTCAGTACTGGGCACACTGTGTGGTGCCCATCCTATCACTGCTCACCTGCTCCTCTCCTCCCTGCCACAGATGATGGTGATTTGGTAGCCAAGGCTCTGGCGTGCCAGCAGGCAGAGCACACATTTGCTGGCATGCCCTGCGGGATCATGGATCAGTTCATATCAGTGATGGGCAAAGAGAACCACGCGCTGCTCATCGACTGCAGGTTAGCACCTCCTGGGCACCACCTGCTGGCCCCATGGCCATGACGTACACGCAGCCATACAGGAACACTAGGAGGTGTTAACCCCCAACCCAAAAACCCACTGTGGGGCTGGGGATAGCCCTCAGTGTCCAAAAGTTCCATTGGAGCATCCGGGGAGATGGTTCCTCCTTGTGCTGATTGCCCAGACAAAGTTGTTATGGTCTAATTCCAGACTAATGGGGTCTAGTTTAGGACTAATAGGCTCTAGCTTAGGACTAATAACTGGGAAGATTAGGGTTAGGGCGAACACTGCTGGAGTGAATCATGGAATCGTAGAATCATAGAATGGGCTGGGTTGAAAAGAACCACAATGACCATTGAGTTTCAGCCCCCCTGCTATGTGCAGGGTCACCAACCACCAGCCCAGGCTGCCCAGAGCCACATCCAGCCTGGCCTTGAATGCCTCCAGGGATGGGGCATCCACAACCTCCTTGGGCAACCTGTTCCAGTGCGTCACCACCCTAAACCACACAGACTTTGCCCCTGCTGGATGCCACGTGGCCGCAGTGAGCACTGTCACACCTCCCCGCAGGTCCCTGGATGCTGTCCCCATCCCGCTGCGTGATGCCAACCTGGCTGTCCTCATCACCAACTCCAACGTGCGGCACACACTGACGGGCAGTGAATACCCCACACGGCGCCGGCAGTGCCAGCAGGCAGCAGCAGCACTGGGCAGGACCACCCTGCGGGATGTCACCATGGCCGAGCTGGAAGGTGGGCACGGAGCATCCGTCAGCTCCAGGCAGCGTAGGGTTTGCTGCAGGGTTTGTGTGTGTCTCTGCAGCATCCAAGAGCCAGCTGGATGAGGAGGTGTACCGCCGTGCCAGGCACGTTGTTGGTGAGATCGAGCGCACGGCGCGGGCAGCACAGGCGCTGCAGGATGGGGATTATGTCACATTTGGGATGCTGATGGTGGAGAGCCACAACTCCCTGCGGTGAGGATGTGACAGCACGGGGCTTTCTACACAATGTGATGTGGTGGGGGGACAACCAGTCCGTGGCTGCAGGGATGAAACGGGATGGCTGTAAGGTCTCTTCCAACCCAAATGTTCTGTGTGATCATTTTAGGGATGACTATGCTGTGAGCTGCCCGGAGCTGGACCAGCTGGTGGCAGCAGCCCTGGAGGTCGATGGGGTGTATGGCAGCCGGATGACAGGGGGAGGCTTTGGGGGCTGTACGGTGACACTGCTGGTGGCCGAGGCTGCAGAGAGAGCCCAGCAGCACATCCAGGTACAGCACAGCAAAGCACCCAGAGATTGACTTAAAGCTCCCCAAACCATGATGCCTACCCCGGGTGATGATGCTGAAGCTGTGATCCTAAGGCACTCAGGGCTGGGGCACCCCATGTCCATTGATGATGCTCTGAGCTCTTGGGGGGCAGTTTGGCACTGTGCTGACCACAGAAGGATTTTATTACATTGAAAAAAAGAGCAGAAGGTGCCAAGAGAGCTCTGGGGCAGCTAGATCCATCTAGGGAACAATAATTTCTAGGCATTGAGGAGCTCAGTGCTGGTAGCATCAGGCTGGGAAAGTTGTTAGTGCAGTGAGTGTGTATCCTGGCACTGGGGATCTGCACTTACTTCTCCTCCTGTGCCTATAGGAGAAGTACTGTGGCACAGCGACCTTCTACATCACCAAACCCTCGGATGGGGCAAAGGTGCTGCCCTTGTAGAGAAGCCAACACAGCATCCCTGCTGGGATCACCTCCTTCCCAAGGAGCACAAACACCTGGAGCACATCTTCCTCTATCTGCTGTTGGGGGTGGAGGGCTTGGTGGGGGAATAATGTAATTAAAAAAAAAAAAAAAAAAAAGGAACAGGCAAACTGTAGAGAAAATATTTATTGAGTGCACAGAGCTGCTGTTGGGTTGACCTGAATCACCAACAGCCCTGGGGACCAGGTGGGAATTAAAAAGCAATGACACTTGGGGCACAATGCAGCCGTGAGAGCACGTGTGTGCACAGGGAGTGTGTGCTACCAGGAGCAGATCTGTGCTCTGTTATGGACAGAACAGCATTTGGGTAGGATGCTGCCAAGTGGCCTGAATTCATTCTTCTCAGTGCTTCTCATCAGCCATGGTCCAAATGTATCCTCATCACTCTGCATAGATCTCGTCCACCTCCATTTTTTTTTTTTTAATATAAAATAATAAAATACATTTATATATTTATATATATATACTACCAAAACTGTACAATATTGTATGAAAAAAAAAAAAAAAAAAAAAAAGCATCAGAGGCCATCGTAAGTAGTGCTATTTGCTATTCAAATGGAAGGGTATGCTTTGCTATTGTGGTACCAATGTTAGCAGCAAAGGACAGACACAAATAGGCACAGTAAGAAAGCAGATGTCACCTTGACCCACTACCTTGCAGCTCTTGTATAACAGAACAGAACAAAACCACCGTCTCCAGCAGAGAGCCAAGCTGCCATAGAGCCCAGGCCAAAGATGGAAATTGTAGAATCGTAGAATTATTAAGGCTGGAAAGACCAATAGGATCAACCAGTCCAACCCCAACCCATCCCTGCCATGTCCCTCAGTGCCACATCTCAGCAGTTCCTGAATGGCTCCAGGGATGGTGACTCCCCCACCTCCCTGGGCAGCCTGTGCCAATAAGTGGTGACCCTCTATAAATCAGGATCTCATCAGCAGGGATCCTCTCAAAACTGAGCACCTGAGAATAAGTCATTTGCTTTGATTTATCTTGGGAGAATGAAGATATGGAGGAAGACCTGCAGCAGGAGGTGTGCTTGGATGGGCAGGCATTGAGGAGTGGTGTTGGAGTGAGCAGTGGTTGCTTATGGAGGAGATCCACCTACATTCTGCAGAACTGAGTCTGCAGAGCAGGATGGGGAGGATGAGTTCTGTGGGGTGAGCGCACACCTGGTGACCCAACCATGAGCTTTGAGTGTGCAGAGCTCCAAGTGCTATGGAAGGTCTGGAGGAACTGCCCAAGCACAGTCTGGGTGAAGCCCTCCTGGATGGTCCTACAAAGCTCTGCCAGCCCCAACGGAGCGTCCTGCTGCCTCAGCTCAGGCCTCATAGAACTGCCTCTCCACCTGCTTGGTGAGGGTCCCGCTGGACGTCACG